GGACCATCTTGACATCATCTCCAGTGATGGAATGCCCATTGTTAGGAAAGGGAGTTAATGGGTAAATGTTGTGGGTGAAATGGGAGAAAATGTGTAACCTAGAAAATATTTTTTTATGTGCTTACCAGTGTTCAAGGGAGACGCAAACATTTTTTATTTGGTTCTACAATATGTTTGTTGTAACGCTGCAGAATGAGGTATAGTCAAAGCCAAGAGCACTTTTAGAGGTTGTCTGGAGGATCAGGGAGTTAATAAAGGATTAAATACAGGCTGATGATTAGAAGTTGGGCTAAAGTAATAGGTGAGGGAAAAGAAAATTTAAAAAAAATGTGTGTACAGTTCCCAGCCGAAATATAGAAAAGAGAGGCTTATGAGTCAATGCAGTTTTAAGATAAGAAAATAAAGTTATAACCTTGACTATTAAAGGAATGTGATCACTAGGTTCATAAGGTTTAGCTCTAATGACAGAGCAGAGATTCGGGGTTCTGAACAGACTTAATTAGAGAGGTGATTAGTGTGTTTGGGAACTAGATCAGGAGCCTGATTGAAAGATTGAAGGTTTAATTGAAAGACGTCCTGACCTAGTTTGAATGACAGCTTGACTGCTCTTGGGAATGTTGCTGTTGTCAGAGCAAAGCAGCAGGACAGGAATTAGTACCAGCCCAGTCATTACATTTGTTGTGTTTTAACGCCACTTTGTGCCAAAATGTTGTGACATTAAACAGATGGAGATTGTTGGTCTGATCTGGCCTGCAGAACTGTTTTAATCCTCCTTTTGTCAGTGTTCACACGTTTGCTCATACACACCTGAAGAAGATTCCACAACTTCTTTTGCTTTCAGGAGGGAATACAACTCTTCTTTGTAGCATAAGCATGCTGACACAACTACCTACTCAAACTTTGTCGGCTCATTCAATATAAATATTATGTAGAATTAATATGATATCAAAATACCATGTACACATCTATTGACTTAATTATTACAGAAAACCTTTAAATCTTAAACGTACAACTAGGACATTTGTCAGCAATCCTTGATCCAAATCTTCAAATGATTTGAATGATTTTTTAGGACAAGCTTTTCATTTTCCATAGCAACAATCATGACAATGCAGTTAAAGTAAGCATGTCAAGACACATGTGGCCACATGTGGCCAACTTAAATTAGATGCAGATGCTAATGAAGAAAGTGGAATACACTATCATGACCAATATAATAATATAAATAAATATATGTGTATTAATAAATGAATAATAATAATAATAATAATTAATTGCTTACACTTATATAGCACTTTTCTGGACACCCATTCAACACACTTAACAGGTAATGGGGACTCCCCTCCAGCACCACCAATGTGCAGCATCCACCTGGATGATGCGACAGCAGCTATATTGCACCAGAACACTCACCACACATCAGCTATCAGTGGGGAGGAGAGCAGAGTAAGGAAGCCAATTCATAGATGGGGATTATTAGGAGGCCATGATTGGTTACACCCCTACTCTTTTCGAGAAATGCCCTGGGATTTTTAATGACCACAGAGAGTCAGGATCTCAGTTTTATGTATCATCTGAAGGACGGCGCCTGTTTACAGTATAGTTTCCCCGTCACTATACCGGGGGATTAGTGCCCCCTCCTGGCCCCACTAACACCTATTCCAGCAGCAACTGTTTCCCAGGTGGTGTCCCATCCAGGTACTGACTAGGCTCACACCTGCTTAGCGTCGGTGAGTTACCAGTTGTGAGTTGCAGAGTGATATGGCTGCTGGCCATATTGTCAATGGCATTCAGATATTTTTATTTTTAGGTATTTTCAATATTTCCCTTCAGTTACATGACTCCATGTTAATATTCCATATTAAGTGGATTAAAAAAGTAAACTTTTTGTTATAGAGAGTTTGTTATGCTTTCACTAACATCTAAGTGCCACCTATCAATTAGGCCAGTGAATCACAATGATGAGAGTCACGGAACAGTGAAGCAAAGCGCAGGCCCTCATTAATGGGTTGTAACACGCGTTCTGAATGGCTCAATCCGTAGTAAAGTAATAATATTGTAAAAGTGTAAATTATTATTGTTATTCATTAAATAACTCATTAATGGTGATGAAAGCAGAATATTCTTCCATAAAGGCATTTGTGTAGTGTTGTGCTTTGAATGAAATGTAAACTGAATTCTTGCATATACCTAATTTCTAGGTTGATCAGGACAATAATCATAGGATTTGAAATTTGAAATTGTTCTTTTGCTGTTCTTTTGTGATCTATAGAAGATTTATTCAGTAGTGGCCTTTAAAATGTTGGGGGACTCACCAAATAATGTTGTAATACTATACAGGGAATATAAATCTCATACCCAATGTATCTATGGTAGATATGTCTGTGCAACAGTTTGAAAATTACGTTCTAGTCTTATCTGTCAGGCCGGACCATTTTATAATTTACTAACACTAAAGCTTGTTTCTCAGGCAGAGACCTGTGATCTACAGTATGTGTCTGCTTCAACAGTTACACTATTATCAGACAAACAAGAAACTGATGTGCGATACAGCAGGAGACTGTGGAGCCCTGATCTTTATGGGAAGGGGGCATGAGATCTTCATCATTTTTAAGCCTCACCACAGATGTTGCCAATGACGGTGTGGATTCCAGGATTTAAATCACAGATGTTAAAGCACATAATCAGGTAAACCCTATATCATCTGTGCAAATATCTTCTTCATTAAACAGAATCTATTTTTTCCCAGAAGAGATGAACACATTCTATGAAAATGAAGAGCTCCTGATCCTGAATGTCAGCAACATTTAATTCTCATACTTCATGATCCGCTGATAGTGCAGATAGTATGTTCTGAACCAATTTATCCCAGTTTTTCTCAGAATATTAGTTGCTGTTGTAATCTGCTGAGTATTATTTTAAAACATTTGCTTGAAGCCATCCTTGAATATGAATTTTTGAATATGCAATAGGTGACAATGTTTAATAACTGCTTCCCATTAATCACTCTTTACTAAGGAATTATATTCCTTTATAATTATAGAGTTTTCTACTATGCTTTCTGATGCATTTATTGGTTATTTTTAAACAGTTTTTGCTTTTTAATCTTCCTGTTGATGTGTTTTTTTGGCTGTTACTTTAAGAGATGTAAGTACAGTATTCAGATAGCATTTCGTTGATCCAATCACGCATTTGTTTCCAATCATACAAAGTAATTCTTGAGAATCTCCGATTCACCATGCCTTTCACATGCTCATAAAATATATTAATTTAGGAACATAAACATATTACTATATGTAAACTGTACTGTATATGGCTGGTCTTGGTATTTTAAAGAAAAAATACACACCAGTATTTCATTTCTACCTAAAGCTTTTAAGCATCAAAGTATTACATGTGGTTATTTCAGAAAAAAGTTTTACGTGCTCCTTGCTCCTTCTGACCATGTTACTGTACGTTTATACAGTATACAGTACTTTGTGAAAAAAAGTGAGTTTTAAGCTTTTCTGTGAATATCCTCGATATCGGAGTAAACAGAAGCATACTTTTAGAATTTGATTCATAGGGAATATAATATGGAATCGCATATCTAAAGAAATTAATAGCAGTATAACTATATTCATGTACTGTTGCACAAACAGTAGTATAAGACTTTCAAT